TGACAGCTTGACTGAAATGGAAAGTTAATGTTTATTCCATTTTTATGTCCAGGGCTGGTTGGCAGATGCCAGCGGGGACACGGTGGCAGCTTGTAAATCGTATCTCTATTTTGACGTTTCAGCGCTATTTCATGTTTTGTGCAGAAGGTTAAAAGTTAAAAGCAAATGCTTCTGATACATATTCAGTGGGGGTAGAAAATAAATAGTGTAAATTACAAAAATTTAAAGGAAATTCAAAGAGAATTGTTTTGCTAATTATAGAGTGAAATGTTTTTAGATAGACGGGTGATTATAAATACAGTTAATATATATATAGTTTTATTTACGGATCATTCTTTTAGGGGACTTTTAGTTAAACAGAAGAGCAATATATAAGATTTGTATAGAATTTTAAACACACACTATTGTTAATTTGGAACAGAATATATATGGAGCTATATTTTGAACTGATCCCCTATCTGGCGAATAGTAGAGTTCTTTTGAAGTTGTGATATACTAAATATCACAGAACAGAAATAGAGCTTATAAAAAAAATTAATATATTTTTTGGTGGCATGTTAGTCTGCTAAAGAATAAATCCGACCTAATGTATGTGAAACCGTTTCGCACAAATAACTATCTTACTAAAAAAATCATACAGGGGAAATCTAAATATTGTCATGAAGTATACTTTAAAAGTTGTGTGACATATTAAATTGCGAATTTTCAATATAAAGATCCCACATTTATTTATTTTTGTATTTACCTATTTATTTTGTTGGTTATGTTAACGAGTGTCTGACCAAGTATTTAATTCAAAAGAATATACAAATTAAAAGCTAAAACATCTTTGATAGCTTGTGATAAGTTAATTTTTTTAATACTAAATACCTTAATCTTGAATTGTCTGCATTAATATTAGTTACTTTATTTAACCTGTGAGATATCAGAAACTAATCGTATTATGTAGCCTACTTCATATATTTTCTCAAAATAATCCAACTTTGTGCAGCCGAGTTTTTTTATAGCTTCTTTTAGCTTTTTATATGGGAAACAAAACTCTTTGAGCCGCTTTTAGGCTTTATGTCTTTTGAATACCATGCGAAACGAGTAAATTTTATGGGCACAACAGCGGTCCACCTGTTTGGCATGCACAACTAGTCGAAAACAGTTTTCCTAGCTTGCTCTCAAGTGGATTTTTTTCTCTCTACTTTTTCTCATGTTCACAGATATTATATTATTTCTGTTGGCATGGTGCGTGGCAAAACCAATTTTCTCAGCGCGCCACTTGCCGCTCTTTTTGGTAATATGACCATTTTATGGTCCACGCATGTGGTGTGTGTATGTGCGAGTGTGTGTGTCTGTGTAGGTGCTAAAGCTAAACACGTACTAGCATGCCCAAAGGTAGTGGCTGCCAGCTCTAGGCAGCACCACCTGCCTGCGTTTTCTTTTTTTTAATGAAACAATCTCAGCAAATATGATATTTTGTATGCAAACATGCAAAATATTGCCTGCGCCTGGGACCGGGCCCAAAGCGTACTCGTAAAACGAAATAAGCCATGCGCCCCAGCACCACAGCAGCTCCTACCCTTCCCCGCTGAGCCGCCTCTAGAAAAAAGACCTAGCGCTTGGGTGGGCTGCGGGTGCTCCTTACGGCGTATCTTGTGTGGTTGGGTGGCTGCGTCTTACGTCAAAAGACAAACAAACAAATATTTGCGCTGACAATAAGCTGAGTGGAGCGCAAAAAATAAGGGAATTAAATACAGTACTCGGCTGTGTTATGAAACGAATTCGCCACGATTCCGACAAAGTTTCACCCAGAAGAAAAATGTTGATATCGTGCATATAAATACATTGTATATTTATATCGGAATTTCCTTTTTTTTTAATTGTATTTCTTCAATATATTCGTAGTATATTTTACTGTAAAAACATTAAATATATATAAGTATTCAGATCTTTTTTATATCCATTCCAAATTAATCCTAATACTGCCGGATGTAAGGCAAAAAGTACATCCAGAACAACCCCTACCCAAACCCAATCAACTCAGCGCGCTGTGAAGCGCAGAGAAAGGCGCAAGCTGCCACTTGCCTTGCCTGCGTTTTCAATACATCTACGCATTTTGAGCGGCTTTTATGAAAATTTGATGTTCTTAGTTGCCGAACTCAAATTGTCAGCTGCATTTCAAATGAGGCCTCAGCGAAATAAACCCTTTGATAAGTAAATACAAATATACATATGAAATTCTTTTTTGTCAACTTGGTTCCCCAAGTCATATATGTATGCATGGATATGCACACACACACACACACAAACACACACAGACACGTGCACATACACATACTTATATATTAAATATGTATTGTATATCAATAATTCAATATTTATTTTCACTTTTGTCGCTTTTTCTCATTTTGTGCTCAGCCGTAAGTCGTAACAAGGAAATTTAATCTTTTTCTTTTACACATTTCTCCACCTGCTGGCAAAATGTTGTTCCTTTTTTTTTTGCTTTTTTTTTTTTTGGTGTTGCTTTCTTTGAGGAGCTCCGAAACCCAATTAGTTGACGACAACGTTGACGTTGAAATTTGACATCTTTGCTGTCAAAGCAGCAGAAACGGCAGCAATTGAAAATTGAAGTCCAAATTGTATTTATAACGAAACGAAATGGGGAGAACATAAGTATTTTTTCTTTCTCTCTACCTGTTCACCTCCTATTGAGGGATGAGTTTTAAGTTTCTCGTGCTGGTCAATTGATAATCAAATCACTAAAAAATGCGGTTATCTATATATTTAGTTATGTGTGTGTGCCTTAGATTTACAAGGCCTAAAGGGATGGCATCAATGGTCTAAGCATGAGTTGGCAAGACAACGTATATAACTAGAGTAGGAGAATGGATGACTGTTGTGAACATAATGAGATTCTAGTTAGGAAATAGGAAGTTGATTGGAGAGAAGTTGATAGATACCTTAATTGACAGATATGAGAGGTATAAGAAAAATTAGATTTAATAGATAAAATCGAATATAAGGTAAATAAATGGGTACTGCAGAAAATATATCATTTTAGAACATTTAAGATTTCTTTATAATATTTATTACATGGTTACCGTGCTGCTTTTTACCCTTTTCTAAATTGCATTGAGTTCTACATTTGCCTTATAAATTTCTCTTTTCGCATCGCCCTTAAATATATTTCTTTATCTCACTTAAATATTTTTTGAATGAAACAAGCTTCATTTAAATATAATATGTGTGTTAAGTATACGCTTATGTAAATGCCCTTCTTCTATCTCGATTTTCATTAAATACCACATAATTCCCGCAACAACTTTGTATCCAATACCCCGCATCCTCTCATACCACCCCCTCCGAAACTATTTACCATAGTCACTAATTACAATTGCGCGCTGTCTCGGCCTTTGGCTGGCCACATTTTGGATAGAGGCTGACGCTGTATATGGACGTCTTGTAGCCCCCAAGGAGTCCAGTTCGTTTGAGTCCGATTCCGTTAGGTTCCGTGCCATGCCGTTCGGTTCCGTCCAGTGTTGGGCAACTAAGCTGTCAACAAATTAACTGTAACGCTCTGAGCAGCTTCGACATTGTGCCCATGTTCGGTTGCCAAGTTGCTGGCCTGGTCGCTCGGCCGTGCACATGTGTCGTAAATTGCATGCCCCAAAGGAGCTGCTAAAGCGACAAACCGACCAACCAACAGCCCCCCCAACAAAGCGACAAAACCAACCAAAAGCAACAACAAAGCGACAGCAGCAGCTGCTACAGGCGCTCCACATGAATTGAACAATTAGCAAAATTGCTCAGACCCCAAAAACAGAAAAATAAACTGCCAGATGATTTAAATTTCTTTTCTTCTCAACTTTTATATACATATACACTATCATTGGGTATTATAAATTTCTGGCAAAACCTGCTACTCGGGCATTTCTAATACGAACTTTGGTTTGTCAGTCCGTCGATTGACTGACTGACTGACCGACTGATTGATGATTAAAACAGCGCACAAATTTTACCTTTTGTTATGTTTTTGAAAGCTAAGATGAGGTTCTCGTAAAACTTCCAGATAAATCTGTTGGGGAAATCCACCTTCCTGGGTGGAAAATGGGTGTTTTTACGGTAGTAAATTGAACAAATGAATTCGCATAAAGTAAAATATTAATAAATAATAATTAAAAGTTTTTTTTATCAGCACTTTTATTATACTGTTAGGAAAGTGTATTCAAAGCTCTGCTTACGACGTATAATTGTGTATATATAGTGTACCAATTTTATTCTTTTCATGTATTTGTGGGGCTGTTCAGAGTTAGGGGTGCGGGCTCTGGTTGTCGCTATAAACGATATACATTTTGTATAAATAACGGCGCTACGTGCGGTAATGATGCCGACACGTGACAAGCCAGCGAAAAGCAGGTAGACAAAAGGCGCTGAAATGAGATATTTTTGGCGAATATTTATTATGGCGTCCGGGCAGGTGTATAAATTTGCATGAGCTACTGCGATGCGTGCGTGTGTATGTGTGCGCGCAGGTGTGTAAAAGTATGGCCAGAGGGGGAGGGGGAGTAGAAAACAGTTCACAAAGCACTGCATAAACAAATAAACAAACAAAACATAAATTTTTGCACACAACACACGCACACACACACACACACACACACACACACAGATATACATAATGTGTAGGTGTATGCGGGTGTTACGCCCCACTGTGGTGCGGTTCTCCTTATGCCTGGCACGTTTCTTGGCTGTCGCCGTTTCCGGCTCTGCTGACTTGTGCCGTTGCCTGCTGTGGGCCTTTCGACTCCGCCGGGGCTTGACATTGGCTTTGATAACAATAATAATAATAAGAAGGTATAATAACAATCATTTTGTGCCCATAAATGCCGCTGCATGCCTCGACCAAGTCCCAGTCCTTGGGCCCACCTGCCCCAACCACACCCAAAAGCCAACCATGAGAAAGTCTCTTAAATTTTTTGTATTTTTTTTTATTAACTGACAGTTTTGTTGGAAAATTGGTTTATTTATAGCAATATTTTTATTTTTATTGATGCGGCACATAAAACATTTTCAAATTTTTTAAAAAGGAAATAAATAACAATATTTTGAAGAGTCCACCCATCAGACAGCAAGAGATTTCCAAGTGCAGCAGCTGTGGAATATAAAAACAATTTATTGTTAGCCACGAATTGTTATTGTTACTTGAAAAGACTTAAGACTAATCAAATATCTTTTATTTTTATCTCTTTCTTATAGCTACACATGTGCTGATCGAAACGCATAAACTCCTGATAGATGAGAAAAACAAGAGAATCGTCAAAAACAACGGTGGGAAATTATGGCGATATTTAATAACGTGAGTAGCGTTTTTTATGGTTTGACTGAATACTGAAGAGCTCTTTTTAAGATATTCTATAAAGATATGCAGTTTTTTATAAATAAAAAGATAAATCAATATATAAAAGGAAAATATAAATAACAATTACGACGATTATGCGATGAAATTCATGATATAAAATAGCACCGCGAAATATATGCACGTGCTCTTGAGTCTCTCTTGCCTCCGAATAATCATTTCCAGTTTTTAATGAGGGAATATGAATCTACTATCCACCACAAAAACTAATATGCCCCTTAAAGGAAGCTCATGTGCTTTCATAATATTATTTTTAAATGCATACCAGAGAGTATAATGATTGATAAAACGAGCAAATTCTATATTTGTGCCAGCATATTTTGTATTCTGCTGTGAGTTTTATATATAAGAAAATATTTTTCATAAAGTATTCTGTTTCTGCTGTATTTGGCAATATATTCTTGAATAATATATTAGGTGATTTGAAGACCATTTTTTTATTATTGAAAATGCGATGCTTAACTTAATAATTCCCTTATTCAGTTCTATGATATATTATTTTACTTAACGAGTAGAGTAGAAACAAAAATAATAAGAGATGAGTCATTTTGAAGTGTTCTTCGGAGAGAAAGGAAAGGCAGAGAGAAAGACGAAAGAATTTTCTAGTGAATCTTAAAATTGTTCATAGTGTGCGCTTACAATTCCCAAATGGTATAGGCGCTCACTCCTTCGAGCAAAAAGTTGCTGGTTCAATCAGCTTTTTCCTAATATGTTTTTAGTTAAAGGTTCTTCAGTTAAAAATTCTCCATGGCAACTAAATCACATATATTTGAAATTTGTTAACCTTCCATATTTCACTCATGCGATCCACCGTCATTAAATCAGAAACACTACGCAATGTTGTTGTCCAATGAGCCGCAGCACATTTTGCATATCGCCCGGGATGTCCGGTTTTTGGGAAGCACCCACTTTCTCGTTCGGCTGTGGTCTCATTTGTCAAGTGTTGCCAGATCTTTGGCCACATAACTGAAAGCTATCAAATCGCTGCCAGTTGAACGTATGATTTGGCCATTAGGCAAAAGGAAAGCAAAGCTACGTGCCAATGCAAAATCGAGTCGGATTTTCCAAGTGTCTAGACTTTTCGTACGATTCCAGTGCAAATACACTTCTTCGGGCCCTTCTATTTGCATAGTCGGGTGGCCATGGAGCAGGAGGGGTGAACGGGGATGGCGTAGGGTGGCAGTTCGCAATTACTGCGAAGCGTATTGAACAGCTTCTGTTTTATGGGCAGCGCTTCCATTTGCCAGCCATAATAGAAGGCTCTGTTCATAAAGTAATCTCGACTGCGCCTTTGTGTGCCTTATATGCGGGCCTCAAGCAGCCCCCTGCTGGCCCCCTTTCACCCAGCCCATGCCTCTAAGAGTTGTAACTTTTGTTCGACGCCCGGACATGTGAATATCAAGGATATCAGCTGGTACAAAAGGCAACAAATTAAACGGTTCTATTTGCAAATGAATTGTGCGTGTCTGTACTGCGTAATTTTGCTGGAAAACTTTGCAATACACCCATGGAATATACACTCAAAGAAATATTCCTAATATACATTTCGGTATGACCAAATTCTTTCTAAACTGTATGTATAATTTTTCTAAAATTATTTATGAATCGGGCTTTATTTCGAACAAGAATTTTCAAACTTAAAACAAGCGTGAAATTTTTTCAATTATAGTTCAACTTTACCTGGTTTTGTACTTAGAAATTTTAAGATTATTATTAAATGGAATATATCAGAATAGAAAAGAATAGATTGGAATAGAATATAAAATTATTTAATTATCAGGCTACGGGACTTTACTGTATTCTAAAGAATTTAAAACATTTGGAGATGTCAAAAAGTTCTTTTAATTTTCAACCAGTTTCTCAGGCTTGAACAAAGTTTCTTTAGATGGAATACCATATATTTAATTTAAACTACAAATATGATTCTCCGATCAACTAGAACAAACTTTTTTTGAAGATGGAGTACGATATATTTTAGCTTTGTACTCTGAAATTTTGTATGAAGAATTTTGATTTCTGGACTGATTAACATGTCTTAAGAACTCTGCTTGGGTTTTGACTCACACGAACATCTAAGTGGAATAGATTGGTTGTATATAAAATAACTGACAATATATAAATGTGTTTTATACTAAGAAATTTGAAATCTGCATAAGTTCTCGAATTACCAATCTCATGCTCAGGCTATAAACTTCTAAGGATTGGCAACGTTTGTGCTTGATCTGAGCACAACGTGCCTGACTATTTCTCCGAGTGTAGCCGGCTAGTTCTCCTTTATCTCTAATGTGTTGTAAAATGTTGGGGATAACCCAATAACTGGGCAAATAGACACACACGCGCACACTCTTGAAATAAAATAAGTAGCTGCTATAGAAAGGAAACGAATTGAAAGCAAAGGATTCTAGTGTCTTCGTGTGTGTCTTTTGTGGGTGAGTGTGTGCGCGTGTGTGTGCTGAACTTTTGTGTGGGCTTCTGCTTTTGCGGCATTTCATACGCTCAATTGCTGTTGGTTAGCCAACACTGGCAGCGTGTCCTGGTCGCCAGTCAATTGAAAATGAAATTGCTAAAACTTGGCAAGTTCTTCCTATCCCGCACCACTCTGCCCCCGCCTCCCTCTTGATCTCTCACCCTCCCTCTCTCTCTCTCTCTGTGTGTGTGCCTCAAAGCACAACGTGCGGACAAGCATGCATAATGAGCTGCAGGAGCGTCTCCTTGAAACTGGCCCCGTCTCATACCCCACAGCGCGCCTCACTTTTGGCATGCGGGCAGGTTACCTCAGCAAATTAATACTAACAGACGCGCAAAAGTATGCAACATCAAATGGCCCAAGCGACGTGCCACCAGCTTTTATGACACTGCAAAAAACTGAGGTGCAGCCGGTTGCTCGCCCGAACCTCTTTTGGCTCGTAAAGCTGCAACTGCAAGCTGCAGGGGACACATTTTGGGGCAACATTTCGCTGCTGCTGCTTATCACTTGACACGTTTTGTTGTAGTCATTTTATTTTTCTTTTTTTATAGATTTGTTTGCATTTGTCGCCTCCCTTCCGCCCCCTTCTTTTTTTTTTGAGTGCATTTGCTTGTTGCGCTTGGCGTTGACTACGCAGTTTACAGATTTTTACGATTCAACTCGCCAAATTTATATATTTTGTTCTCGTTGTTGTTGCACATGTGCGAAAGTTTTCATTATTGTCACAAAGTGACAGATTGTTCGGTTATAGATATATAGAGAGGGGTTTTATGCAGGGAAAGTTGAAAAGGATTAAGCACATAAAAATGCAGACATAATGCGACCATATTATGGAACTTCAACAAAAAGTGGGATTTTACGAGCACCTCTTTTTTCACTGTGCGTTAAGGCTGACTCTGTCTGTGGACCTGTGGGATTTCGTTTGAATGGTGCTTTGACTCGAATTTTATGAGTATTAAACATGATGCACAGTTACGGCTATGATTTATGAAAAAATCCTTAGGTATGACAGTGGAATATATATAAAAAGAAAAAATACTTCACTTTATGGATACTCAAATTAAAATAAATGCAGTATTCAAATTCCAAAAAAGAACACATTGCCCAGTATTAAAATTTCTTTCAGACAGTTTATGTTTTATTCGTTAAAGCGAGGAAGCGAGTTTAAAATTAATTATAGAAAAGAAACTCCAATTTATGAAAGATACCCAAATTAAACAAAAATCGAAATCAAATTCCAAATTGTCCAATTTTAAAATTACTTTTAGAAATTTTATGCTTTGATTAAAGCGTCTTTGAAGAAAGGCTTACAATAATGTTACATAAAGAAACACAAGTTAGATAAGAGCTAAAACTGATCTATTAAAGAATGACCTGTTCTGCATAGTCTCTGATATAAAAAAATAAATAACAGCGAACTCTAAGTGGAAATCTAGCAGAAACTATTTTAATACTACGCATTAATGTGGGAAATTTCCGGCCACAGAGAAATATATATTATTGTAGTGGAAAATAGTTACTTTGCCTCGGATTTTATTGAGTTTTAAATATTATGCATAGTTATGGCTATGCCATATAAAAAAAATGAATCGTTGCTTTATGGCAGATCAAAATAAAGTCTCTGATTCACAAAAGAAAATCATTAAAAACAGTTTAGAACAACAACTCGAAAAAGAAACCTTTCAGATTCTACTCTCTTATTTTTACATAATGTGTCACGCATTGATGGACCACATGAAATTTTATAAAACCCTTCCAATCTGTTGCCCGACTGTTTGTTTGAAAACTAGTCTACTATTTTGAAAACCAAGCTCATGTTTTTTTTTTTTGCCCGTATAACTATGTTACGTAGCGGTTATATAAAATAATGTTTAAAATATTGTTGAGAAACAGAATTTTCATTTGTAGAAATGATTTGTTTTATAAGATATTTTATGTCTATATACACTGTGCTGGTTAAATAAAGAATAAAGTATGAAGATATATTAAGTTATCTTATCTTACACTAACTCTTTAAAAATATCGATAGAGTGTTATATTTATATCAGAAGAATATATCTTATGTATGAAGATATGTTAAATTTTCAAACATTTCCATATACTCTAATTCCTCTTAAACATCGGAAAAACGTTGTTTTTATGTCAGAATAATATATCTGTTTTGCCAAACTCCCACAGAAGCTTTAACTTTAAGTTTAGTTTCTGTATGAAAACTAAGTCTGCAAAGGTATTTAATCTTTGGCACCAAGGTCTGTGCCTCTTTTCTTCCAATTGGAAATTGCTTCTAACAAATATTCGCTTTATTCAAATATTTACTTTTAATAAATAACTATAAGTAGCTTATTTTTTATATTCAAAAAAACTACATTCAACTATTAAATTGCTTATGAACACTTACCATATTTTGGATGAAAATATGTATTTAAAAGGCAGCCTCTTAACATATTATCTGAGATCAAAGCCTTTACATTCCCTTGTTTATTATTGTCAGTCTTTCGCTTTTTACGTTTGCTTTGCCTAAAATAGATAAATGAAAAGATAGAAAATCAAAAAAGTTTCAATTTCTCATATTTTATTTTTTAAAATTCACTAGAAATTGTTGCACTTTTTTTTTAAGATTATGCGTGTGCTGAAATGTGATTTTGGTCTTTCACAATTTACATCAATTTTGCTGGTTTTTTAATTTTATTACAAAAATAAATATATTATCATAATCCTTATTTTTTTTTACTCCCACATTTTTGCGAAAGCTGCCCCGTAAAATGTTCAACAATTTTCAGCAAATATTTTTCGAGCAGTATTTGTGTCATTTTTTGTTTTGTTTGTTGGTTTTTGTTAATTCTGTGTTGGGCTTTTCGTTTTGCGCATCGAATGCGGCAATTTGACATTTGCATTTCGGGCCTTTAAAACGAGCCAAAAATATGCCAATGCCTAAAAACGTACATGCATTTGGAAATCAAACATAATTTTGTTTTTGATTCAAATCGAATGGAAAGTTTTTTTGCATACTTCATTTAGGCAATTCATATGTTCTCTAGTTGTGAAAAGTGTTATTGAGGGTATGCTGGGGCAATAGAGAGTAAGAGCTTATATAAACCACGATCAAAAACATAGCGCTTATAAAAATATCATATCTGATTGCCTAATTTTATATACCTATCTATGTGTCTTTTCTGTTGTTTCTTTATAAAAAATTCTCGAACTCGGCGATGTGATTTTTAACTTTCTGACGAACCAAACTCGGTTTATTTTCCATAAAACTTTATTTGAAAGGTTTAACTGCTTAGAGTTGGTAATGAAATGTTATGACTAAAATAATTGATTCACTCTCTATATTCGCATTATTATTATTAACTTTGCATAGGAATTCACGCATATATAAATTGAAGTACCATAAAACTTTGTGTGGAAGGTTTTACTGCTAAGAGCTGGTAATAAAATATTTTGGCTAAAATAACTGAATAACTGTCGATGTTAGTTTTTCTTTCATAAATCATTAACAATGAATTTTTTTTATTTAGTAATGTTTTAATGGGCTTCTTTGATTGAATATAAATTGAAATATCCATCAAATTAAAAATAAATTGATTTTAATATTATTTTTATTTATACACTTTTTTCTTTGTTGGCATATTAGTCGTTTTATTTAATATGTCGCTTTTACTGGCCCTGTAAACGAACTATTCAATCTGAGGTTCTATTAGAAATAATACACTTGTACTTTTAAAGCTAGAAAATCATTAAAATGATTTTATTTCCACAATGTTTTGTATAATATAATTGCGCGCACAACTTTTAAAATATTCTCCACAAACTTGATATGCGATTTTAAAGCATATATGAAGATCTCACTGACAATGGTTTTTTTTTTAAAATTCTCATATAGATTCTCTAATAAAATTATCTTAATACAGGGCATAATTTAGTCGTTCACTTTCACGTACATTTTTGACACTTTAATATGAGCGATAAATCAAAAGTTAAAACTCAACAAATCATTTGGTTGGCACACTAAAAAAAACCATTTGCTAAAATAAAAAAAAAAAAGGAAGCGAACGCTCACAAATTAATCAGTTTCGATTTCGGCACTTGCGGTTTAATTGGCCATTGGGCGGCACACCCTAACGATCTGTGTGTGTGTGTGTAGGTGTGTGCGTGTGCACACATAAAACTTTATCACGCCTCCAACTGTGGCAAGGACTTGGTCTCCGCCTAATTCAAACATTCGAATTTACGTTAAAACCTCATAAAAATTCGCGCGCCAAAAAAAAAATAAGAAAGTGCCGTTATGAAGTTCATTCAGTTGATGATGGTGTGTGTGTGTGTGTGTGTGCGCGCGGGAAATGGGTGTAGGCTGGTATGTTTATACTCACATGAACTAAGCAAAGGAGCAGTCGCTATCAGCAGGCAGCATCCTGTGGCGTTGCTTTATAATATATAAAAATATATATGTTTTTTCCCACGCTGGCTTTTGTCCTTTACATATCGTCCTGGCAGCGCAGCTGTGTGAGTGTGCGTCTGTGTGCGTTTGTCCTGTGTCCGTGTCCTGAGCGCTTGCCACGTTTGCCGTCTAAACGATTTACGACACTTTTGCCAACTGCTTTGCCGCACACATTTGCAATATTGTTTCTACTAAGTGTGCGTGTGCCCGTGTTTGTGTGTGTGTGTGTTGTATCTGTGTGTTATTAGCATTACACAAAACCAACACAAACACACACACATACACATTTACAGTTGCAAAAACAGCAACGAATGCCGCACACGTTCGTTTTTATTATGTTAAATGTCTCCTGGGGCCAAGCAGCAGGACACACACAGCCATTCTGGCGCCACAACAACGGTAAATCGCAACGTCTGCTTTGCCTTTGCAACTGTCTGTTTTTTTGTGTGCAACTTTCTCGACTGTCTCTGCGTCTGTCACATTTCACATAAACTCAGCCTCTAACGCGCGCGCCAAAAAGTATGCAACACAATTCGCTCGCCGCACCAGCAGCAGCTGCCGCGACAGCAATCGAGCGTTTCCCTTTTGCACCTGCCGCTTTTAGCACACAGCACGCCGCTCCACTGAAGACTGACACGGCAACGCGCTTCAATCCGTGCGAATTGGCCAGCTTCGGTAAATTCACCCACACACGAGCCAAGTAAAACGCGACGCTGTGCCGAGCATAGCCGAAAGCTTTTCCCTGTCCTGTGTTGAGTTGAGTTGAGTTGAATTTGGCTGCAGCGGCGCTTCGCTCTTTGCTGTGATTGAGTTGAGTTTCCTTCAAAAAGAGTCCGCAATTTACTCTGCTCGTTTGTTGAGTTTCATCTGGGGTATACTTGAGCGCTGCGCTTTGCTTTCAGGCTGCTCAAAGAGACGTTGCGCATTTCAGTGTACTGAGTTTTGAGCGGTATTCATGTACTCGATTCTCTTTGCTAGTCCTGCTGCTGTGAAAGAGCTGCTGAGCGTGAAAAATGCTCCGCTTGAATTTGAGTTGAGTTTTGCGTTGCTTGAGCTGCAAGTCGCCTGGCTCTTGAGCATCTTTAAACTAACCTGGCTACTGAGTTGTCTATAAGTTGCTCTTAGTTGCATTGAGTTGTTAATTGAGCACTTTCACAGCTGCTATCAACCTTGAGTACTTTATTCGACTCTAACTTAGCAGCTCTTTGAGCAGCATAATTGCGAAAAATGTTTGACTTGCAGCTTGTTTTAGTTACGCTCGGAGTTGCATTTATGAGTGGGTGTTAGCTACACATCGAGCTGCTTGTTTTAGTGAACTACTCATTGCTTTCTCTTAAATGTTTTAAATTTAGCATTAATTATAAAATATTAAGAAAACAATTCCATATTTTCCTCATATTTCTTCCCATTAATTTCTATGCTTTAAATATAAATTTTCAAATTAAAAAAATCAGAGGATTTTAAAATTAATTTAATTTATTAAATTATATATATTATTAAAATAAAAAAATACTTCCTTTTTTTTAAAAACCAAGAATAACAAAAAAAAATATGTTATAATTATTTTAATATTTTTAACTTTTGAACCTTGCTTGAGTCAATTGCAATTGCTCAAGCTGAGCTACTTTCGTTCGCTCACAATTAATGCTCTCTTTGCGCTGTGCTCTATTCTAATTCTCTTTTCCTGCACTTTTCACTTGAATTGAGCTGCTTATGCGACTCCAACAGCATCATTTTCGCTTCTCTCTTTAGCTCACTTGAGTGTCGTCCTTCACTGAGTGGCTTTCTTCCATACTCGCGCTCTTTGCTTGGTAAGCTTTCGAGCTGGTTTCGTAGGGCTTCGTTAGCGCTTCGTGGCTCGCACGAAAAACTCACCACAGTAGCTTGCCGAGTGCTTTTATTCGCTCAGGCTGCTCGTTGTGGCTCGGCTGGCACACAAACTCACACACACACACCCACAAACCCACTCACACACGCGCACACACACCATCTGCTCGCTGCGGCTGGTGCTGAGCCTTGGCCAATCGTAAAAGTTTTGTACGTATTTAGTACAATTTCGGGATTTGGCAGGATGTAACCAGCCTGTAAGAAACTGAGCGCGCTGTGTGTGACAAAAAGAAAGGAAATAACAATCAAATACAACAACAAAAATTGTTTAAAAAAAAGTTTTTAAAAATTTCAATTAAAATACTAAAAATATACAAAATATAAATATATTATATATAATATATAAATACTTGTGTTTTGGTTGAAGAGTTTGAATTGAAAACGTCAACATCTTCGGCTTTGCCTCGGTTAATGCTCGTTACACACCAAACCCCCCCCAGCCCGCCTCAGCTCCCTCGTCTTTCAACGCATGCCACGCGACGCGTCGTGTTTACCGCGTGCCGGTTAACGGTTCTTATTTGTTTGCGTTTTTTTAGTTTATTTAGCTCAAAGTGCGGCAACAGCTAATTAATGTTTGCTTTGAATTTGAAGCGCTTTAAAAACTGGTAAAAAATTAATTTAAATTTTTGTTTAAATTTATAGCAGAAAAACAGATCTTTGTGTGTGGCCTTAAAATGTCGTTGAGGCTTTAGACTATTAGGCATAGCAAAGGATTTGCTTATGCAATGCCAAAATAGAGTAAAAGTTCTTATAGAAATTTGACAAAAAATAAAAGTAAAGAACCCAAAAAAGTGGCTTCACAAAATGAAACGATTTTCACAGCAATTGACATGGGGCAAGGGTCGCGTCAGGGGCGTAGTGTAATGTAGGGGGAGGTAGGAAACTAACCCAAAATCAAAATCTGTTGTGTTTGTTTTTGTTTTTGTTGTTGTTGTTGTTGTTGTCCTGTGTCATTGTCCTGCCACAGTAGCTGCTGCTGCTGCTGCTGCTGCTGCTGTTGGTCCCGGGTAATAGTGTCGTTTCCTTTATTTGTGCCCGCATTGACTTTTATGTTACCTTCTTCGCCTTTTTTTTCCACTTCTGGTGCTGCTGCTTCTTCTTGCTCGCCGACGCACACACAATTGAAAATTCAATTGATTTACAAAATGAAGTTGCTTTGCGCTGAGTGTGTGTGCGTGCGGGTGTGCGTGTGTGTGCATTTTATTTTTTATCTATTTTCATTTTGGCTTTTACGAGCGGTACAACAATTTTGAGCTGCTCTCCTCGGGCTTTTGGCTTAAAGCAAGCGTTAACAGTTTTCCAGTTTGTAGTTTCGCTAGAGGCGTGGCACAGCGTTTGACGCCAAAATTTTCTGCCTTTGTTTTGGGCAGCGCAAACAAGCGTCACGTTTGCGGCGACTGCGACTGATGGTCACTGTTGTGCATATGTGCGAGTGTGTGCGAGTGTGTGTGCGTGTGTGTGTGTGGATTGCGGCCTAAATCGTTTTTGGGCGAAGAGCTGTGATTTTTCGGGCGTTGTTTTTTTTTATTTGTTGGTTGGGCAAAGGCACTGAAATGTTTGCTCTGGACATTGTCCTCAAGTTTTGTGGGACAAGCAAGAGAAAAGGATGCGCCAGAAATTGACACAGTTAGGGTTTTTTTGGGGTAGCTATATGGGCCGAGTAAGTGAATTTCCAGGCAGTGAATCGTAAGTGTAACTATCCAATGGGAACTTGCCCGAAAAAGGACGCAGGCATTTTGATAGATTGCTTTAAGTTGAATCGACTGTCAAATGCATTTTTCGGCTCTCAATTGAAATTTGTCAAGCCAAACTATATAGAGGATATAATTCAGATTAAATTTCAGTAAAACTCAGTTTTATGCGTCCGAATTTTTCGCCGGCCCCAAAAAGCATGCTATAAAATTGGTTGTGCAATTCGTGCCTTGAAATTTGAAATTCAGCTCTATTTCTGCACATAAAATAAACTCGTAAAATTATTTTTAAAATTTTTATTATCAGCAGGAGCTCACACACGCAAACTGACCTATCGTAAATTATGTGTATTTTATATTTGTCAATTTTCTGCCAAATTATAAATATTTCCTGACATTAAACCCTTTGAATGTCATAATACCTATTGATTAATGCAGCTCCGCAAGAGGTACACTTTTAAGAAAGTAGAATAACTCAAGCTCTTTAAGTTTTTTTTATTCGAACAAGAAATAGTTAACGCAAGTTTCACACACTTCAATAATTCACGTGCTCTTAAAACTTCTCCAGCGAATTGAGAGAGCACGCTGGAAAATAGGTAATTTTTCTTCTGCCTTTGCGTTTGTAATATTCGATCTGCCTTCAAGAAGTTTGCTTATGAATCGCATCAAAGGCAACAAATCGCACGCTCGCATAAGCCAAGCATTGGATTTGTAATCAACTCCCAGCTCAGTGAGGCAGCGGAGAAATTTCAGTGGCAGGGGGGAAGGTGAAGCACATTTAGTTGCCGCATTAAAACTGCAAATGCTCGCATTTGGCCCTTTTTCATGTCCTTTGACAGCTGCTGCTGCTGCTACTTTGTAGCATACTTTTGCGCTGCTTTTTATTGTGTAGCATTCAGTGTCGTCCTTTGGACCAACTGTTGTCCTTTTTTTTTGTTTTTTTTTTGTAGCCACTTTTGCAGCATTCGATTGTTTGCCATAGAGATAATTTGCAGTTAAGCCAAGCAAAAGCAGCTCAGTTATGTTGTTTTACATTGTTAGTTGGTTTTAAAAGGCAAACAGCTTGCGAGAAGGACCTCAAGACTTAAGCGCCTGATGAAGTAGTTTTGCACAGTTTTACAGTTGTCAAGAGCTTCACATTTTTGATAAGATGCTTTTCGTGTTTTTTTCGCATTTGTCTTAAAATTCTTAAAGCTGCATCAGAGCTATACACAACATACTTAAAGCTCCTTCTCTCCGTCTTACTTCCGTCTTCCGTTCTTCAATCCCTACCTGCCCACATTCTTCATCTCATTTCGTGGCTCCCACAAGCACTTTGTTTTGCTCGTTTCGGTGTCAAGTGTTTTTATTAGACGCAACGCAGAAAAAAGAAAGAAATAAAGAAAATATGAAAAATATGTGGTAAGAAAAATATGGAAAAAATTGCAGCTACTATAGTCGACAGCTGTGGCAACTACTTCCCCAGATCCCCGCCTACGCCATAAGAGCTGGAGCTGACGCCCATTTTATCTTTATGCGCGTGTATGTGTGTTTCCTTTACCTTTATAAGAGCTGTTGCTTTTTCCTTTTCTATATGTGCTCTATCAAAGCAATATTTAAATGAAGTTTTGCGACATCTCGGGCAGATTTAAATACCCTGTGACTATTGGAAATGTCTAAAAGGGTTTATGAAAGTTTTCTGTCAGTGTATGTAACAAAAGATGGCCAAGTTTGTATATAAATAGTTGTACAGAGTATCAACTAGAGTATCCACTCACGGCAAGAGCACTTTTACTTGTTGTACATATTTGCGTTTGGAATCCATTTTTATGAGACACTCATAACACGCATACGACGTGTGTGACAGCTAAAGTTCTTCTTGCTGTCAACTTGAACCATTACTGACATTCGTTTTTCTTTGTTTTATTGTATTATATGGTAACATATCTAGTGAGCAGTTGGCTTATCAGATGTCATTAGCCTAATTGACAAAAAGTCAGCAAGTTTTCTGTGCAGTTTGTTTCTGGCCAAGTCAAGTTTATGTCAGCGTGTAAATAGTG